AGGAGTGGGATGACGAAGGGTATCCAACATTTGAGACTTTGAAGTCGGGTCGTCGGGGTGGAAAGAAGCTACGGGTTGCACTCCCAGATGCCATTTGGCGGCCCCGGGCAGAGATGTGGGGACGCGCATTGGCCATATTAGACCAAATTACTTATGCCAATGAAACATCATGATCACGAACAAATTTTTGAGGAGCCTACTACGACAAAGGCTCCCTGACAGCTAGACAACGGTTGCACCGCTCATTTTTTAAACCTGTCACACCTTTTTTTCTTCACCCATCCCACCACCATCCATCTAATGGCCTCATCTTCACGCTCCGAGTCGTCTCCTGAGACAGGGGAGTGCACCGTGAATGACTCGGATACCAACGAGGAGTGCAGTTGCACTGAGTTCGGAAAGCTCAAGAGTACCGGACTCTGCAACAACTGCTTCCATGAGCGAAAGTATCATTTGAAGTCGTCGGGAAAGGCTGCCCAGAGGGTGCAGACTATCCTCTCCGGGATGCTCCAGGGTAGTAGCTCATCCACACTCGGAAAAATCGGCAGGGCGCGAGGGAAGCTGGCCTCCTCGGCCGCAGGCTCCAGCGGTTCTCGCAGCAAAGCAGCCAACAACGAATCTAACCAGGGTTTGAGGCCGTCGAAAGGGAAAGGCAAGGCCACGGTATGTCAATTGAGCTCTCAGCAATGCGCACGATTATGTTAAAATGGCACATCTTCGCAGACCAAGCAAGCCAGTACTTCTAGCAATATGTTCAGGGTTGTCTCAGTCCTCGTTATAACCTGTGGGACAAAGTGGATTGTAAGCTTCACAGCATCAATTGTTTCTCTTGCCCGTCTTGAATTTAGCACACAGAGAGGAAAGCTCGAACTTCCAGAAGGCCACCAGGGAGTCCCTAGCAAACTTGAGATTCAAGCGGCTGAAGCGCATGGCCATGCTGTCGTACAAGTGGACGAAGGGATCGAGTTTGACCGGACATGTGACCACGATGAGTTTACCGAGGCCCTCCGTGTCGTACTGCCCCATCCTTTCGCGTATTTCGAAAATCTGGAGCAAGAATCTGACGACAACGAGCCATCCTGGTATCTGGCAGCGGTTGACAAAAAAAGACTCGGCATTGTGTACAAGGCTCGTCCCAAGGGCTCAGATGCTGACTATCACAAGGGTTCCAGTACAAGCAGCTTTCGGCACAGTCGTCTCTTCATCGGTTAGTCCTCACACTGCTGTGCGTGGCCACGATAATAATCATTTTCGAATCCTTCAGTTTCTCGCAAGCCGATTCCACGTGAAGTTATCGAATCATGGGCAGAACCAGACGCCATAGCCAAGTTCCAGAATCCTGCGGGCGGTTAGTCTCGTTCCCCGTGCTGAAGTCGAACTGTAGCTCACTAGCATGTAGAAGTTTCTGAGTCCAATGCTTCTGAATCGGAGAATGAGGATGCCAGCCCTAGCCCCGAACGTGCGCGGCGCCATTCTAAGCGCCGCTCAGACACTCATGGCGATCACGATCTATCAAGGAAGAAGCAGAGAAAAAGTGGTAAGTCGTCCACTTGCATGTTATTGATGTTGGCGCTCACATTCTGAAGCGTCGTCAAGTGGTAAAGACACTCCGGTTCCTGAGGATGAGCCGAGTGAGATGCCATTTGGTACGTGTTTACACTGGCTCCTACTAGTAATGTGGCGGATTGGCTCACCCGCTAGCAGATGGTTCCTATATTGATCTAACGGAGCCTTGGGCCGACAACTCTCTGCCACCTTGGAGCACTGGTGCCAGTGGGGACTCCACATCTTCCTTCCATCGCCCAGCAACCCCTCCTCAGAAGCCTAACCCTGTCGACCCCGCCTTTTCCAACGAGTTTAAGCTCGACCCGACCTTAGGGGACCCGTACGCGACCCAGACCTTTGATTTCTAGAAGAATAGACCGCTAAAACACCACGTTTCTTGGACCCGATGTCGCTCAACCTGTTTGAAGTGTAGACTTTCTTGGACTGTGCACACTCGCATACATGCATTTCTTGTTTTCTTGGACTACCAGCATTTCTTGGACTAGGGACGTCGTCCCGCATCTTGATTTCCTTGCGTACCCCATACCCCCTGTCCCATAGTAATTTTGTTGTGAATATTCATTTTCGTGTACATTGTGCTGGTTGCCTCAACCTGTCTTACTCGGCGTGTACTCCTTCGGCCTCCTGTTACTTGCTCAATAATCACTGCTTCAAGTGCTTCTCCTCTGCGCCGAGCTCCTCCTCCCTAATCTCTGCCCCGTCGAAATCATGGTGTCTCCTTGCGGTGTGCGGTGCGGTATGCTGTTTGTTTTGTAGTGTTTTGAGAAGCGCTAGGCCTGGAGAAGGGTTGGTGGGCGCAACATTGATGTTGGGCGCGACGGCGGCGACCGCGCTGGACGAGCCGGAAGCTGTAGCCAAGCCGGGCCAAATACCGGCACCACGATCCGGACCTCCGAACCGCCGACCAGTGACCGACGCGACACCGCCGTGGGGCGGGAGTACCCCGAATGCTGCCACCAGCGATGGGCAGACCCACCCGCTCATCGACTGCTGCGGTGAGAAATCATAATATATATAACATACATCGACTCACAGTATATACAGTATATATGTACGGTCTTTGCATGGTCTTGCAGTTTATATATGCACCGTCACATTTCATACAGTACCTTTCCTGAAGATATGTGATCCAGAAGGGATCTCATACTATAGTTTCCCGAACCTCAAACAATATAAGTTGCAAATCATACAATATATAATGATCCTTACGGGCGACTTCATGCGAGGTGAGTACAACACATACGGGATTTGATTTTTTTTACAAAATGAACAGCATATGTGGATGTTAGGGGAAAGTCTGGGAGATTTATAAAAACACTAGATCTGATTTCTGCTTATGGCGTTCCAAGTGCACATTTAATAATCTGCTACTTATTTACAATTCTTTGTGTTTTGCGCTAAATGTACCATGAAAAATGCCGTTTCCCGCTACTTATATCGACCTCAGAAGGAGGAAAGTATATGTCGCAAAAAGCCGCAGCTTCTCGCTACATTTATTTAGGAGTCTCAAATTTTCTCACTACATTTGTGGTAAAGTTACACAGCTGGCCGCCGTCGGGGAGACAGTTGCGGCTGGGCAGTGACTGATGTATCATGTATTCCCGCACTTGGATATGGTGCTTTATTGGCTTCATTCAATCTGGGATGAAGTTTTCAAGAAGTTCAACCATGGGGCACGCGACATCCGCAGTTCAACCTCTGGCAATTGCATTCTTAACTTGCACAGATGCAATGAGATCCCATATAAGCATCACATCTTCTTTCAGCTGCCTGGGCTAGTCCACAGGCCCAGCTCGCTGTCACCAAAGCATTTGTGCTCTGCTACTGAGCCGAGTCAAACCGCTCCGTCTCCAGCCCACGGCCCTTTTCTCCGTTTCCACGCGGCAAGGACCACACCCAAACCCTCCCTCACTGCAACGCACACTTATCTCTGCACCCTGTGTGTTCACTGCTGCAGGCTCGGTCGGGTTGAATACGGAGATGTGCGAGCCCTTGGAGATATCTGATGGGCTCGCCCACGGCCGTGGATGGCTTGCAAAGCCATTTCCGTTGCCATTTCCCATGGTACACGGACTGTGGTGTGCTACTGGTTAGCGGATTGGCCGTACTTACATTCCCGAGGCCTCCTTAAATTAACCTTGAATGTAGTGAGAAATTCTGGACCCCGAGAATGAGTGTAGCGAGAAAAGTTTGGGCACCGAAAAGGAACGTAGCGAGAGAATTCGGTGGCCAAAAAAAGAAAGAGTTGCGGATCAGAATCCGTCCAAATGCGTGTAGCGAGATCTGATTTGGGCGAATGTATGTAGCAAGAAATTATGACTTTCCGCAACATACACTTTTGTCCTTCTGAGGTCCATATAAGTAGCGGAAAACAGCTTTTTTCTTGATATATGTAGCGGAAAAGATAAAAAGTTGTAACTAAGTAGCAGATTATTAAATGTGCATTTGGAACACCATAAAATCGAAATGCAACATGGACCCACCTCTGCACAGCGGAGAAAATAAATTTAGTTGTCCCAGCCGCCGCAAGTGAACGAAATTTTCTGTACTCAAACACCGAAATAACAAGAGCAGAAAAAATAAACAGAACGATACTTTATTCCGACACTAGGAGCCTTCCCGCTCATACAATGCTGAACCAACCACAGGAGGAGCGAGCGTGTACCGTACACCACGTCCGACCTCATCTGCTCCTTCTTTACCCAAATCTATGCGCCGAAAATTAGTAGTTGAACTTGAAGTAAACCAAAAATACAAGGCGATCCGAGTCGCATTTGTACATTCGGACGCTGCGAGGCTTCCGCCTCGAAATGTGGAATTCCAAGAAAGGAAAGTGAGTGTGCACCGTGCACCACGTCCGGGATTCTTCCCATGTTGCGTACCCCGTAAACACTAGTGAAAAGGCATCAATCAGATTGAGACTCCTGGAGGAACCAGAGAAATAAAAAGAGGCATCCCAGTCATATGTACGCTGGTAATCGAACTCAGGCTTCACGTGTCAATGGCAGCTGAGTGTACTATAGTAAGTAGAGAGGGCGTGCACCGTGCACGACGTCCGAGTTCCTGTCATCCTTCTGCACCCAAATACATGAGACGAAGTTTTCCGCCTGAATTGAACAGATAAAAAGAAAATCAACATCTCCACTCATTTCCGGCGTTGAAACAAATGTCGAAGGATGGACTGTCAGCTCACGTCTGTGAAGACTGGATGCAATAGACCTATCAGGGCAGGAAAAAAGAAACCCCATCGAACCCGCATTCCGACGCTGGGAATCGAACCCATGCCGTCAAGGAGAGCGGGTGCGCACCTCATACCACGTCCGAGTTCCGATCCCTTCTATGTACCTGATTAAATAAGACGAAACATAGTAGTTGAACTTGAAGCAAAAGTAAAATAAAAGACGGACCACGGCGATCCGAGTCGCATCTGTACATTCGGACGCTGGGAATCGAACCCAGGTCTCCCACTCCAACGATCCTAATTCAACGACAAGAAGAACGGGCGTGCACCGTGCACCACATCCGAGTTCCCCTCACTTCTCTGTACCTGAATAGACGGGATGAAAGGAGCAGCTTGAACTCAGATAGAAGGAGATATGTGATTGTCCGCCTCCTGAATTCCGAACCACCCTCCACGCCCGCGCCGAAGTATTTGCTGAGGTGTTCATCCATCGTCCACGCATCAACCCGAAGTTTCCACAAAAAAAGAATTCCGCCGAACACATATTCGGACGCTGGGAGTCGAACCCAGGGCTCCCGCCTCGATGATTCCTTAACAGACGTATCAAGGAGAGCGGGCATGCACCGTACACCATGTTCGACCTGAATATCTGGGATGAAAGGAGAAGCACGAATTTGGATAGAAGGAAGCATAATCAATATTGGCGGCCTCCTGAATTCCGAACCACCCTCCATGGCCGCGCACAAGTATTTTTTTTTGCGTTCAGGCGCAGGTCCGTCATCATTGCAATCAGCCCGAAGGTTTCACAAGAAAGAAAAAAGAAAAATTTGCACAGAAAACTTGGATTCGGACGCTGGGAGTCGAACCCAGAGCTCCCGCTGTAAGCCCTTGAAGACTATGGCATAGGAAGCGGGTGTGCACCGTGCGCCACATCCGAGTTCCTTTTCCTTCCCTGTACCTGACCACATGGTGTGATCCCGGGGGAACTTGAAGTGAGAAGTAGAGAATAAACGCTGAGAGTCGAACCCAGAGCTCCCGCACTCCTGAATCGAGAATCAGAAGAACGGGCGTGTACCGTGCACCACGTCCGAGTTTCAATCCTGTTCTGTACCTGACTAAGTGCTAGCTAAATCCAACCGCGTGAAGTTGAAAGAGGGAAAAAAAGCAACCAGAGAGCGCATCATTCAGACGCTGGGAGTCGAACCCAGGCCTCCTGCTTCATATAATTGCTTCACACACCTAAGGAGAGCAGGCGTGCACCGTGCACCACGTCCGAGCTCTTAGCTTGGTTGTGCACCTGGATATACGAGATAAAAATCAGCAGTGGCCGCAACCAGGCGAAGAGATAATTTAGTGTAATGAATTCCGAGCTGCGTACATACTTGGATGTCGAGCTCCAAGTGAGATGATATGCGTCGGGCGTTGCACGGGCATAGCATTCATTGATTCATTCAACTTGATGAGGTTATATACATACAAGTCCGACAAGACGGGTACGAGATACAGTTGTGTAGATTCGATATGGAGGGCTATGTATGTACGGAGATGGGTATACGATGGGATGTGTAGGGTGGAGGAATTGATGTGCGATTGGAGATCGCGGGATGTAGCGGAGGAGAGGAGAGGAGAGATGTATGTAGGCGGGAGGATATATAAATGTGATGTGCAGGTGCGCGCAGGAAAGCGGCGTCCGCGATCGGCGTGGAGATGATTGGAGAGGGTCGGCGGAGAGACACAATGCGGCGTAATACACTGGGGCAGCGGCCCGCGATTGGGGTAAATATGGCAGCCGGTGGCGTCGAGGGAAGGTACGCCGGATGGAGGCGGTTGTGACAAGGAGGGCCCGGAGAGAGGGCGAGGAAGGGGCACGCGGACGCCGTGTGTAACGTGAAGCGGCGTACCTGTGGCGCTGCGCCCACCTCACACCCACCCTGCATTCAATACGTCTCCTGCCTTCTCGGTGTCCTCCTTCCACCCGATCCCTCCCGACTCCGACTGCTCTCCCGGCTCAGTCCCTTACTCCCGCCGCCACCGAACCCAAACATACGCTTCAGCAGCGGGATCTCGCGCGAAGGGCTCCGCATTGGCTGCGGTTGTGCGTACTGTGCATACCCTGGGGCGGGCTGGGCATCCTGCGGTTGGGGTTGGGCATAGACGTACCCCGGCGGGAGTGGCGGGTAGTTAGCAGTGGGTGGGGGGTAGGACATCCCGCGCGCGGGCGTTGGAGCAGCGTGTGGATGGGGCGCCACCGCATAACTCCGCGAGCGCGTCGGCTCCAGGGGCGGGGCCACGGGGGCCTGCGAGGAGGAGCGCGCGCGGCGGTGCTGATTCTGCGTTTGCGGGGGTGGCGGAGGAGGTGCGGCGGGGTAGTAGGATGGCTGCTCGACGGCGGGGTACAGATGCTGCGGCGGGGCGGTCTGCGAGCGCGGCGGGCCGTCTCTCGGCAGCGGCAAGGGCGGCGGTGGCGAGCGCCGTCTCCCCCGGTCCCTATCGCGGTCCGACGAGCGAGGCCGCCGGCTACTCCGGCTCGCCTCCCTCGGCAGCGGGGCCGGGCCATTGGCGGGGGTCGGTGGGGCGAAGGGGTCCTTCTGCGGCACCTGGTGGGTCGCCTGTGCCCACCGTGCAATGCGGGCCTGCGTCTCGAAGTGTCGCTGGTAGGCCTCCGGCGAGTAGTCGTATTCCGTCATTGACTCTTCAGCTTGGGTTCAATAACAGGAAAGTTGTGGCAAGAGTAAAGAAAGACGGACCCCCAGTGGAAGCTTTTTAAAGCTAAATTTTACGGCTCCACGTGCCGTGCCATCGATTCAACCCGAGTCAGTGCGCATAGCCGTAGTTCTTATATGACGCCGATCGGGAGGTCTTCGTACTCCAAATTTCAAGATTAAAACTGCCTGGCCACGACGAGGAAGAGGGAGAGAGTTGAGGATGGCGGTGTTACACTGCCCCCATCAACACCGCCACTTCACAGCCACTCTTCCTCCGCATTGCTCCGCACGCGGCCAAGGTTTTGCGACGCCAACGCGTCGCACTCGTTCTGCCTGCTCGCCATCAAACCTTTCGCTTTCTTTCAAGCGCTTTCGCAAACCAGAACAAAATCAAGACGCCCTCTGTCCGATCATCCGTCGGGGGCAGGCTACCTCTGCTCCTCCTTGCATCATCACCGCAGAAAAAGAACCATCTCTCGAATAAACCTGAAAATTCAGGCTAATAAGGTCTACAGGCGCACCGGCACCATTCAAAAGCTAAATACCTCGTGCATGTGGTTGGCGGGTGTTCGACTCCCCCCGACCTCTGCGATTATTTTTAGTGATTTCTTTTTTTTTTTTTTAAATTATAAGTAACTGTCGTTGAACTGTCCGTGAACAAATATCTGCTAATAACTCTTCCTATAGCATCCAACCCTAGGTAATACGGTCTGCAGGCGCACCGGGCACCTTTCGCTCGTTGTTTGAGCATTGGATGTCTGTGTTCGGCGGGGGTTCGATTCCCCTTAGACCTCTGCGGTTGCTTGAGCTTTTTTACCTGGTGCTGAGTAAATCTGTGCTGACGCACCTTCGTATAGAGCATCCAACGCAAGCTGATACGGTCTGCAGGCACACCGGGCACCCCCCTATGACTCAAGAAATCGTGCATGCATGTGTCCGGTGGGGGTTCGAATCCCCTGAGACCTCTTATTTATTCTTGCGACTTTTTTGCGCCTGTCCGCGAGTACATACATCTTTGTTGATCAGCCTTCGTATATAGCATTCCTTACAGAGTACTAAGGTCTTCAGGCGCACCGGGCACCTTTCATCGGTTGACTCCTTCGTGGAGTCTGTGCTCGGCGGGGGTTCGAATCCCCTAGACCTTTGTGCGGTTTGCTCCATAACCTTTTTTTTTTTTCATTCTTGATATTCGACACGCCCGCCGGCGAATCTTCTGACAGCCTCGAATACTGTTCTACAAGACTCGAGAGAAATTTGGTGTTAGGAGCTACGGGGTCGGGTAGTTGGACGGAGTGTACCCACCGAAGAAGAGACGTGCAGGTACTGAGTCTGTGGAGGAGTTGATGAGCTACTAGAAATAACGATGCGCCATTCGGGTGCTTATTCCTGTTGAAAGGATTTTTCAAAAAGGGAAAAGAGAACACACTCATTCGGACGCCGGGAGTCGAACCCAGGGCTTCCGCCTCAACTTCATCACTGAACTTCGGGAAGGAAAGCGGATATGCACCGTGCACTACGTCCGAGCAATAACCCGTCTTTCTACCATGCTAAATGCCTCAGGTTAGAGGCGAATGAGCCAAAAGAAAAAGACAGCGCCTCAGAATTCGGGGGGTAGCAATCGAGCCCAGGCTTCCCACTGACACGTTTGACTTTGTCTAAGCTTCTAAGGAGAGTGGGTGCACCATGCACCCCGTCCGTGTCTTGAGTCTTGGTAGGCACCTGAATGCCTGGCAAATGATTCTCAGCCCAAAGTAGAGCAGGAGATTACAACCGTTGAACATGAATTCAACTGTCCCAGCCGGCGGGAGTGACTGGAATCCTCCGCATTTAAATGTAAGGAATTAGAAGAAAACTAAAAAAGGAGGGTGGGAATTCGGACGCTGGGAGTACAACCCAGGCTTCCCGCCTACATCCTTCTTTCAACCCTAAATAAGAAGGGCGGGAATGCGCCGTGCACCACATCCGTGTTCCCCTCCTTGCTGTGTCCCTGAAGACATGAGCTCAATAATTCGCAGCGTGGGCATTCGGGACGCTGGGAGTCGACCTCAGGCTGCCCACATCGCAATATGATCTTCTTGAAAAGAGAATGAGCGTGCACCGTGCATCCTCCCCATGATCTTTCTTCAGCTGAGCCCTGGCTGAGATCATCAGCTTGCAAGTTGAGAAAAAACGAAGGCACAAATACCTTATTCGGACGCTGGGAATCGAACCCAGGCCGCCCGCATTACTCCTGTATTCTCTTCGGCGAGGTCTAGAGAGCGCGCGCGTGCACCGTACACCACGTCCGACTTCTTCTCTCTCTTTTGTACCCTCGCTATAGACGAGCCTTCTAGAGGGGAATTACTTGATAATTTCACGCGGGCGCTGAGCATTCAGAGCGGGGCGGGTTGGGAGGCGGTGTACCTGACAGAACGAATACCCATAATCGACTCGGAGGTCCGCTTGAATATGCGGTTGAGGGGCGCGGTGACCGAGTCAAGAGGAACAGGTCGAGTGGAGATCATCTCGGACTCGAGACCTCCGTCCGAGCAGTGCACCAGGACACGAATACCCATATCAGAAGGATTCGCTGAATCAGCGGCGCCAGTCTACGTATATCAGACGATGACACTGGACAGGTGAAATGAAATGGGCACCGCACCGTAACGATCTGCTCGGGGTTCGTTGACCTCGATTAATATTGAAGATGTTGACTGGAACTGTTCTCGGAGATTACACGGGATGATCAGGTAGTCCGGAAATTGGATACCCATAATTAATTAATTAAAGGATCTGCGGATACGGAATCAACGGCAGAAGTTCATATATCACGACGACGACATACGGGTGCAAATCAGAGTGAGAACGGAAAGACGTAGGCCCCTGCAGAATCGATGCGGTGCGGTGCGGTGTACCCCAAACCCACGAGTGCCCTTAATAGGGCATAAATACACATACCCTCAGATGAAGGGACCCACAATGATACTGCCACTGACACTGACACGAATCGAATAAGCGGCGCCAATCGATACAGGGTCAGCACGCCATACCAGGGACATGCATGCCGCACGGGAGCGCTGATCCTCGAGGGAACAATTCGAGTAAAGATCTTCGCATGTTTCGAGGCAAGAATCCCGCCGTAGTACATCGTCATGGTGGAGTTCCCGTCCACAAATACTCATCACCACGTTCGATTTCTTAACCTGAATACCTGAGATATCTAGATCGAAAATGGCACAAACTTGAACAGAAGAATTCAAATTCAACATGGCTTCGCCTTTTGCTCTGCAGCCTGGCGAAAGAAATCAGTCTGTACTCGGTGAGACTTAACGGCGGCGGAAGTTATTGAAGTGTCCAACCTTCAATGGGAGCAGAGGGAGCAGGACTAAAATGATCCGGCCTCGCGGGAATCGAACCGAGGGCTCCCGCTCCCATATTCTGCCGTGAGCCGCTGCCAGGAAGAGCGGGTGTGCACCGTGCACCACGTCTGAGTCCTCAGCTTAGATGTGTACCTGAATAAATGAGCCGAAAATTCTCAGCTTAGAGCCGGACGAGAAAAAAAGGCAATACAAGATTACTAGTTCGGACGCTGGGAGTGGAACCCAGGGCTCCCGCCTCCAATCCTACGAAGCCCTTCCAGGAAGAGCGGGTGTGCACCGTGTACCACGTCCGAGCTCCTATCTTGGACGTGTACCTGAATATATAAGAAGAAAATGAGCGGTTGAACTTTGAAGAAAAAAGAGTTTGATTCCACAAAGCGCATTCGGATGTTGGGAGTCAAACCCAGCCTTCTCGCTCATACAATGCAGAACCAACCCCAAGAGAAGCGAGCGTAGACCACGTCCGAGGTACCTTCACTCCTCTGTACTTGGATACATGGGATGGAAGGAGCAGCGCGAACTTGAACCCAAGCAAGAATAATCAACATCCCCCGCCTCCTGAATTCCGAACCACCCACCATGCCAGCGCATGAAGATATTCTAACCCTTAAAATATTTGCTGAGGCGTTCATCCATCGTCTGCGCAATCAACCCGAAGGTTCCACAAAAAAAAAAAGACTTCCATTACTCGGACGCTGGGAATCGAACCCAGAGCTCCCGCTGTGAGCCATTGAAGACCATGCTATAGGAAGAGGGTGTGCACCGTGCACCACGTCCGAGTTCCTCTCCTTCTTATTTATCTGAATATATCAAAAGGAAATCCGAACACCAGTAGTTGAAACTTGAAGAACAAAAAGAAAGTCCTAAACAATGCTATTGAGTCGAACCCAGACTTCCCACACCGCAATACGATCTTCTTGAAAGGAGAGTGAGCATGCACCGTGCATCCTCCTGAGGTTCTTTCTTCAGCTGAGCGCTGGCTGAGATCATCAGCTTGCAAGTAAAAAAAAACGAAGGCAACAAATACCTTATTCGGACGCTGCGAATCGAACTGAGGGCTCCCGCCTCAACAAAGACACATTGTTTTACAAAGAGGAGCGGGTGTGTATCGTGCCCTGGTAAGCACCTGAATGCCTGGCATATAAATTCTCAGCCCAAAGTTGAACAGGAGATTACAAATTCAACATGACACTCGCCGCAGTGCAGCGCTGAACTTGAATTCTACTGTCCCGGCCGTCGGGAGTGACTGAAATGCTCTGCGTTCAAACGGAAGGAACGAGAAGTAAAAAAGGAAAAGCAGAAAAAGTGGGCTGATCTACTATTCGGATGCTGGGAGTCGAACCCAGGTCTCCCGCCTAAAATGTGCTCTGGCAAGAAGCGCGGGTATGCACCGTGCACCACGTCCGAGTTCTTAGCCTTGTTGCGTACCTGAATACCTGGCATCGAAAATGGCGTGAACGAACACTAGGATTTCAACATCGACCTCCTGTTCTTGAGGTAAATTCAGTTGTCCCAGCCGTCGAAAGTGAACGAAATGTTATGTGCTCAAACGGAAATAACAAGCGAGAAAAAGGCAAGAGTACTGGATTATTCGGACGCTGGGAGTCGAACCCAGGCCTCCCGCATCACACATCGGATCTGTTCACCCCAGAGATAGCGGCCGTGCACCGTGCACCACGTCCGAGTACTTAGCTTGGTTGTGCACCTGGATATACGAGACGGAAATCAGCAGTGGCCGCAACCAGGCGAAGAGAGATAATCTAGTCTAATGAATGTCAGGAATTCAGAGCTGCGTATATTTTTGTATGTCGAGCTCCAAGTGAGATGATATGCGTCGGGCGTTGCATGGACATGGGCATAGCATTGGCTGGTATTTGTGTCATGTACATAAAAGTCTGACAAGACGTGTAGGAAATACATTTGTGTAGATTCGATATATATATACGGCGGGTGTAGGAGGATAGGTATATGTGGCGGGACGTATTCGTAGGTGGGTGGTGTACGGGGATTATATGCAGGGCTATGTATGTACGGGGAGGGGTATACGAGGGGATGTGTAGGGTTTGATGTTCGGTTCGACATCGGTGTGCGCGGCGCGGAGAGGTCGCGGCGCAGGTGCGAAGCGCCGCTGTGGCGCCGCTCGCGATGAGGGCGGGGATAGGAGTTTGGTGATTGGAGAGGGTCGGCGGAGAGGCGAGGTGGCGCGACGCGATGCGGCGACGTGCAATCGGGGTAAGGTAGGAAGGGGCACGCGGGCGCCGGGGTGACGTGAAGCGGCGTACCTGTGGCGCTGCGCGTACCCGCAACCACCCTGCATTCAATACGTCTCCTGCCTTCTCGGTGTCCGCCGCCCACCCGATCCCTCCCGACTCCGGCTACTCTCCCGGCTCAGTCCCTTACTCCCGCCGCCACCGAACCCAAACATACGCTTCAGCAGCGGGACCTCGCGCGTCGGGCTCCGCATCGGCTGCGGCTGGGCGTACTGCGCGTACACTGGGGCGGGCTGGGCATACTGCGGCTGGGGCTGGGCATAGACGTACCCCGGCGGAAGCGGCGGGTAGTTAGCGGTGGGTGGGGGGTATGAGAGGCCGCGCGCGGGCATTGGCGCAGCGTGTGGATGGGCCACAGAATAGCTGCGCGAGCGTGTCGGCTGCAGGGGAGGCGCGGTGGGCGCCTGCGAGGAAGAGCGCGCGCGGCGGTGCTGATTCTGCGTTTGCGTGGGTGGCGGAGGAGGTGCGGCGGGGTAGTACGGCTGCACGACGGCGGGGTACAGATGCTGCGGCGGGGCGGTCTGCGAGCGCGGCGGGGCGTCTCTCGGCAGCGGCAATGGCGGCGGTGGCGAGCGCCGTCTCTCCCGGTCCCTATCGCGGTCCGACGAGCGAGTCCGCCGGCTACTCCGGCTCGCCTCCCTCGGCAGCGGGGCCGGGCCGTTGGCGGGGGTCGGTGGGGCGAAGGGGTCCTTCTGGGGCACCTGGTGGGTCGCCTGTGCCCACCGTGCAATGCGGGCCTGCGTCTCGAAGTGTCGCTGGTACGCTTCGGGCGAGTAGTCGTATTCCGTCATCGTCAAGTCTCTTTTCTTCTCTTTCCTTGTCTTCTCTTCTTCTGTTTTTTTTCAAGCGGAAACCAAGCGAACAAGCGAGGAAAGATGTGGGGGAGGAGAAGGAACGGCGGGGGGCGCAGACGGACGCCAATTTTTTTATGGCGCCACGTGCCGTGGCGCTTGTTTGATCCCTTTGATTCCCGATCCCGCGGGATCAATATAATCGGGCCTTCCCCCGAATCCCCGATCTTCCCGATTCGGCCGTGACGACTCTGATTTAGTCTTCAGAACACAACGACTGCCTCCTTGGGCCCACGCTACGCCCGCTTTGGTCTAGTGCGCTCTATTATACTTTCACTTCACCTTTCGCGCTCGCCCTTAGTGCGTATGCTATCCGCTCGCCCCGCCTCCACCCCCGGTCGCACGTATCGCTATCTCCGTTATTCCCGCTGTCAGCTTAATGCGCTGCCCGTGTGCGATCGGCAGCGGGGGACGTTCCCGCGGGACGGCGACCTAAGAACCCGCGCCGAGTTGAGTCCCTGCTGCGGATGACATTGAGAGGAGTCTGGCACACGAGCAGCTACTACTTATTATGACTCACCCCCATCTCACCTCGCCCGAGTCGCCTCGCGCATACCACGTTGACGCGGCCTGTTCATTTCGGATCCTGCTATCTTGCTAGTCAACTCAGATTGTCCCCGACAGCGGACCCTAAAACACGCTTACGCTGCATTGCCATGCATCTAATCAGCCCTCCTACGTGCGGCTGCGCCGGATTATCAGCGTCCGTCGACGTCCGTATTCCACGTTTATCCCTGCGTCTGGACCCCACACTGATCCCTGTCGTCGTCTAATCGCCCTCCGTGCCTGTTGCAAGTCTGTGCGGACT